TTTTCATTCAACCTTTATTTAGACTGGTAAATCCCATTGAGCCTCGAGGACTCATTTACAAGAGAGACTTGATTTCAACAAAGAATGATGACAACAATGGACAACAACGACAACAATAGACAGTTATAAAAAGTCATACAATTTTTTTTTTAACAAATAGGATGGCTAAAAAAAAGAAAAGTAAAAAGAAAGAAAAGTAACAAAAAAACAACTAGATTCTAAGGCGAATGTAGAAAACTTAAAACAGGAACATGTCTGCATTGGTCCCTGCCAGGAGTCCAACAGATTCTTAAAACCACTTAGAGAGGTCAAGGTTGAGAGCTTCCGATCTTTTTGCAAGATATTCCAAGAAACAGGAGCAGAGTAGGAGAAGGCCCTTTTGCCTAGTTCAGTCCGCACTGAGGGAACACTGCAAGTAATAATGTCCTGAGAGCGCACGCTGTAGCTGCACTCACGCAGAGACATGTAGGAGGAGATGTATGAAGGCAGCAGACCAAGAAGTGGTTTAAAGATGAAAATGTACCAGTGAGAGAATCTGCGTGAAGTTAATGATGTCCAGTTAACCAGTGAATACAGGGTGCAGTGGTGGGTACAATAATCACAGCCAGTTATGAATCTTAGTGCACCATGATAGACAGCATCCAACATCTGCAGGGTTCTTGTAGGAGTATTCATGTAAATAATGTCACCGTAATCAATGGAGGGAAGGAAAGTCACAGTTACAAGGCATCCTAGCATTCAGAGTTAGACAGGATTTGTTTCTGAAAAAGAAACCCAGTTTAACTTTCAGTTTCTTTACCAAGTTTTCCACATGGAGCTTAAAAGAGAGATGCGAGTTGACCAAGATACCCAAATATATATAGGAATCAACAAAATCAATGGGGACACCATTTGAGGATGAGATCAGAGGAAGAACTGCTGGGACCAACTTCCTATTTGAAAAAAGCATCCCTTTGGTTTTGTCGGCATTTAGGACAAGTTTGTGGTGGAACAAATCTGTCTGGATGATATTGAATGCAGATTTCAAAAGCTGGAAAGCCTTAGCAACAGTTTTAGCTCGACAATAAACAACTGTGTCGTCAGCATAGAAATGTATGGATGCATCAGGGATGTTTTTACCTACATTATGTATGTAGATTGTAAAGAGGGTGGGTCCTAAGACTAAGCCTTGTGGTACACCATTGTTGACTGTTAAATAACTGGAGGAAGTACCATTATGTTGAACACATTGCCTCCGATCTGAGAGATAGTTTGAGAACCAACCAATGGTGTGTTCTGAGAAACCGATTTCTGAGAGCTTATAACACAAGATGTTATGATCCACAGTGTCAAAAGTTTTAGACAGGTCTAAGAAAAGTGCAGAACAATAATCCTTAGCATCCAGTGCTTCAACGATGTCATTAAGAACCTTCAGTGAAGCAGTGGTTGTGCTGTGTTGTTTCCTGAAACTAGATTGATGGCGAGGTAAGATATTAAATAAGTCCAGGTAATTTTTGATTTGAGAGTTTATCAGTTTTTCTAGAACCTTGGCTAAAATGCAGAGTTTATAGATTGGTCGATAGTTGTTCAGTGAGGTGGGGTCTCCTCCCTTCAGCAAAGGAAGAACAAAGGCTGTTTTCCAAGTGTCTGGGATGGAGTTTTCTCTTATGGAGAGATTGAAGATGTGGGTCACAGGGACTGTGATGATATGAGCAGCCATCCTTAAGAAATAACGTGGAAGTTCATCTGGACCTGCAGATTTTTTTAGGATCAAGATCTTTTAAGACTTTATTGACCTCACTGACTGAGAATGGAGAAAAAGAGAAGCTGTGTTTAACTGAGGATTGACTTGTAGGAGGGATTTGATTTGTAGAAGTTTGGTTATTAAGTGAAGTGGATGATTTTCCATTAGTAACTGTGTCAAATAAAGAACTAGAAGCAACAAAATGTTTGTTGAAACATTTCAGGATCTCGTGCTTATTTGACACGAACAGAGTTAATGAGAAGTTGTGATGGGAGGTCAAATGATTGGGTGGTGCCTGAGAGAGATTTGATGGTTTTCCAGAATCTGTTAGGGTCATTTAGATTTTTGGAGGTCTGAGATAAGAAATAGTTGCGTTTTGCTGCTTTGACAGCAGTTGTGGATTTATTCAAATTCAAATTCAAAAATACTTTATTAATCCCAGAGGGAAATTATATGTTGTGGAAACTCATCATCCTGGTTTCATTAAAGAGTTGTTATAGATGCTGATGCTGTGGGCAGGAAGGATCTCTTGTAGCGTCTGTCCTACAACGGATTTGAAGAAGCCTCTGACTGAAGACACTTTGTTGTTGTATGACAGTCTGATGAAGAGGATGCTGAGAGTTGTCTATAATATTCTTCATTTTATTAAAAATCCTTCTTTGAACAATCATATCCAAAGGTTCTAGAGGAATCCCCAGAACTGAACCAGCCTTCTTTATGAGCTTGTTGATCTTTTTTAAGTCACTTGTTCTGGTGCTGCTCCCCCAGCAGAAGAGATAGTGCTCTCTACAACAGACTTATAGAAGATATGCAGCATCTTGCTGCAAACGTTGAAGGACTTCAGCGTCCTCAAGAAGTACAGTCTGCTCTGTCCCTTCTTGTTGATGCCTTCACTGTTGCATTTCCAGTCCAGTCTGTTGTCCAGGTGAACTCCAAGGTATTTGTACTTCTCCACCACCTCCACTTCTTTTCCCATGATGGAAATAGGGTTGGATCTGTTCCTGATTCTCCTGAAATCTACAATCATCTCCTTTGTTTTGTTCACATTCAAGATGAGATGATTGTTTCCACACCATGCCACAAAGCGGTCCACCAGTTCCCTGTACTCAGCTTCTTGTCCATCTCTGAATACAGGAACAGAGTTAATGAGAAGTTGTGATGGGATGTCAGATGATTGGGGGGTGCCTGAGAGAGATTTGATGGTTTTCCAGAATCTGTTAGGGTCATTTAGATTTTTGGAGATATTTTTACTTGAGGATCTAGATCTTTATATCTAGATCTTTTTACTACATGTGGAAAGTCATAGCTTTTGAGGCACAATGTGTTTGTTTACAAATTTCCTACAAACTTTATGTTTGCACTAAATGCATTATTACACAAATGTTCTTATTCCATCCATCCATTATCTTTTACCCGCTTCTTCCATTTTGGGTCACGGGGGTCGTTGGTGCCCATGTCCAGCAATCACTGTATGAGGGGCAGGGTACACCCTGAACGGGTCTCCAGTCCATCACAGGGACACATAGAGACAAACAAGACAAACAACCATTCACTCTCTCTCTCTCATCTAAAGACAATTTAGAGTTACCAATCAGCCTAACATGCATGTTTTTGGTCTGTGGAAAGAAACCGGAGTACCCGGAAGAAACCCACGCATGCATGGAGAGAACATGCAAACTCTATCCAGAAAGGCCCCTGGACCGGGATTTGAACCATGGACCTGCTCGCTGAGAGGCAGCAGCTCTACTAGTTGCGCCACCGTGCTGCCCAAATGTTCTTATTGTTTTCTGTTAATACTGTTTTAAGCTAAGCAGAACAAAAGAATGTTTAAGAAATATAAATTCTTTTAGGAAATATTTTATTCTGGTAATTCTATTTGCACTCAAAATAAATTGTTAAATTGTGCAATAATTAATGTTCTGTGCATATTTTATTATTCAAAAACATGCATCCAATTAAATTCAGGTTGTTTTTAGATCAAGAAAAGAAGAGGTGGGGGGGGGGGGTGAATAATCAAGCTGGTAAAGGTAATGGGGTCGGCCTGTCCTGCCATTAGGTGTCCCTTATTTATTTTTCAATAGTTTGGATAATAATTTTTCTGAGCTGGCAACCCTAGTACATAGGGGCCCAGTTACATCCAACAAAAGTATAAAATGCAAAAGAAAAACAGTAATAAAATCTAAGATATGAACTAAGAAAAACAATAACTAAAAATACACTAAGTACTAGTAGTACAAAAACAATACACCGAACAACAGCACAAACATGAATCTGTGTGAGCAGATGAGTACGAATTAACACAGCAGCATGAAATAAATCAGCAGTATGATGTGATTTATTCACAGTGATTATCTAAATTATTATGAAGTTTTGTAAAGTTTTAAAGGTTTGTAATAATTTAAGAATTTTTATTCCATATATATATATATATGTGTGTGTGTGTGTGTGTGTGTGTGTGTGTGTGTGTGTGTGTGTGTGTGTAGAGCGCCCTCCTGCGGCAAAAATCCAGAAGCCACCACTGCATATAAGGTGGGCAATAACAAGCTTTGACTTCTGCCTTTTACTTATTTAGTTGGCTTGTTTAAATATTATTTGATTTAAATAATTGAAAATAAATTCAATTCAGTTTATTTATATAGTGCCATTACGCAACAACCCTGTTGTCTCAGGGTACTTTACAGGAACATTCACATACATTTAAAAAAAAACAATTAGTAAAGTTCTCTATCTAAGGAACCCAGAAGACTCGTTTAATCTTAACTTCGTCACAGTCTCCCATCCTGAATAAGCAAAGTGGCAACAGTGGAAAGGAAAAACTCCCTTTTAAAAGGAAAAAACCTCCAGCAGAACCAGGCTCAGGACAAGTGGCAATCTGCTTTGAGTGAAATTGAAACAGACAAGTGTATTAATCTATTTAGGGTTGTATCTCACATTGCAACAGGTTAACAGTGAGGGGGTCTCCTCAATGTCTCAAAAGGTTGGCAGGGATTTTCAGTTTCCTTGTCTGAGCAGCAGAAACAGAGTCCAGTTACATGAATTTTGAAAATGGTTTAAAAAATGTGACAACTTGTGACAACCAGAAGACAACCAAAAGACCTGGTTGAGACAACCTGGTCTTTTGACAACCAATTATCACAAAATCATTGAGCTGGCCGAAGAAAATGTATAGAAAAGGGAAGACATTTCAGGTTGTAATATTTGACTACTTAGAGCAGAACACAGTGACATGTGTAAACTTATTTTCTTTTCAGAATTTGTTCAGAAAGTAGATCCTTACCATGGATGTTGTGGTGCACAGCGCAGCAGAGCCAGTGTCGGCTGGATCATTGTCAAAATCATCACCAGACAGCCCATCACCGAATGGGCTCCCTGCAAGCCGCATGCATATTTTAAATGGCATACATAATATCACAATATTACCTGTTTAACACAAATCTAAACATGTTTAGCCGTATGTCGTCGTTTAACCACTGGGTGTCCAGGTGGTGTACTGACAACGACATGGGCTGGAGTTCTTTCTGTGGAAAACCTGGTCTGATGCGGAGAGATGGCATCCATCCCACTTTGGACGGAGCCGCTCTTCTTTCTAGAAATATGGCTGATTTTGTTTATCCCCTAAATTATTGACAACCCAGGGTCCAGTCCAGGAAGCAGAGTTGTAGTCCTCCACACCTCTCTGCTGCTTCTCCTCTGTTACCCACCCACACCCCCATTGAAAGAGTGTTAACTCGCCCACGGCTCAAATTAAATAAACCAAAAATCAGCTCTAAAAATATAAACCATAAAAATCTGATTAAAATAAACACAGTTACTTTACGAGAGCAAAATCCTAAAATCATTAAATGTGGATTATTGAACATCAGATCTCTTTCCTCTAAATCCCTGTTAGTTAAAGAACTGATAACTGTTCATCATATTGATTTATTCTGTCTGGCAGAAACTTGGCTACAACAGGAGGATTTTGTTAGTATAAATGAATCCACTCCTGTTAATTATTAAAATTTTCATGTTCCTAGAACAACAGGCCGACGTGGAGGAGTAGCTTTTATTTTTCAGTCAGGATTATCGATTAATGCCAAACCAGTTATTAGTTATGATTCTTTTGAATCGCTGTTCCTCAGTCTTTCTTATCCAAAATGGAAATAAGAAAAGCCACTTTTACTAGTTGTTATAGAATAGAATAGAATAGAATAGAATAGAATAGAATAGAATAGAATTCAAATTTATTGTCATTGCACATGTCACAGGTACAAAGCAACGAAATGCAGTTTGCATCTATCCAGAAGTGCTTAGCAAGAAAAATAAATTGGTAGATATATATAGTACAATAAGTAAGTTGCTTTGAATATGCTATAGGTATAAATATATACAGTTTGTGAGTGTACAGACTATGGACAGGTTATAATATGAAGGGGTACAAACAGCTATATAAAAGAAAAATATATATATAAGTATGTGAGTACTTATGAACAGTAGATAGTAGATTATGTGTACAGTTTGTACAGTAGTGGGCTAACGGATGAAAGTGCAGGTGGTGGTGTTACAGTCCATGTGTTGTTGTTGTGTGTATGAGAATACAGACCGTTGTTGTTATTCAGATGTCAGGAGGCAGAGTTCAGGAGTGTGACCGCTGTGGGGAAGAAGCTGTTCTGGTACCTGGTGGTGTTAGTCCAGAGGCTCCTGTAGCACCTCCCAGAGGGCAGGAGGGTGAAGAGTCTGTGTGCTGGGTGGCTGGAGTCTTTTATGATTTTTCCAGCCCTTTTCAGACACCACTTCCTGTAGATGTCCTTTATGGCAGGAAGTGGTGCTCCGGTGATGTGTTGGGCGTCTTTCACCACCCTCTGCAGCGCCTTCCGGTCTGAGGCAGAGCAGCTCCCGTACCAGACTGTGATGCAGTTGGTCAGGATGCTTTCAATGGTGCAGCGGTAAAAGTTCACCAGGATGTCTGAGGACAGGTGCTTCTTCCTCAGAGTCCTCAGAAAGAAAAGGCGCTGGTGAGCCTTCTTGATCAGTTTGGAACAGCTGGTCATCCAGGTGAGATCCTCAGAGATGTGGACACCCAGGAACTTGAAGCTGTTCACACGCTCCACCACCGTCCCCTTGATGTAGATGGGTGGATGTGGGTCAGCGTTCCTCCTGAAGTCCACGATGAGCTCCTTAGTCTTCTCAGTGTTGAGCAGCAGGTTGTTGGTGTCACACCACTCAGTCAGACGAACCACCTCCTCCCTATAAGTGGTCTCATCGTTGTCTTTGATGAGGCTGATCACCGTGGTGTCATCTGCAAACTTAACGATGGTATTGGAACCATCAACAGGTTTGCAGTCATGGATGAAGAGGGAGTAGAGGAAGGGACTCATCACACAGCCTTGTGGTACACCAATGTTAATAGTGATGGTAGATGAGCAGTGGTTATCCAGCCAGACATGTTGGGGTCAGTTGGTCAGAAAGTCCAGTAACCAGTTGCCCATGAGGGAACTGATGCCCAAGTCTGTGAGTTTTGTGATGATTTTTGAGGGGATGACTGTGATGAATGCTGAACTAAAATCTATGAACAGCATCTGGGCATAGGTGTTTTTGTTATCCAAGTGTGAGAGAACAGAGTGCAGCGCTATGGAGACTGCATCCTCTGTGCTCCTGTTCTGGCAGTATGCAAATTGGTGGGGGCCCACGGTGGGGGGGAGACAGGATTTGAGGTGTACTAGGACCAGCTGCTCAAAACACTTTGTAATGATGGAGGTGAGGGCTACCGGACGGTAGTCGTTGAATCTTGATAGTTTTGAGTTCTTGGGTATCGGGACGATGGAGGTGGTTTTGAAGCAGGTTGGTACCACAGCACGGGCCAAGGACAGGTTGAATATGTCCGTCAGTACTCCTGCCAGCTCCCCAGAACACGCTCTAAGAACACCTCCAGGGATGCCATCAGGACCCGCAGCCTTGTGAACTTTAATCCTGCTCAGTGCCGCTCCTACAATGGTGGGGAAAAGAGTCAGTGGTTGGTGGTCTGGAGACACATCTGCCTTAGTTGTAGTTGTTGGGTTCCCTCTCTCAAAACGAGCATAGAAAGTGTTGAGCTCATTGAGGAAGGAAACATCAGAGGACAGGGGGGAGGGGTTGATGGCCCTGTAATCTGTAATGATCTGGAATCCTTGCCACATACGTTGGGGGTTGGCGTTTGAGAAGTGTTCTTCTATTCTCCCCTTGTAGTGGTGTTTGGCCTTTTTGATGCCCCTCTTCAGCTCAGCCCTTGCTGTACTGTAGGCCTGTGTATCCCCTGACCCGAAGGCAATGTTGCGAGCCTTCAGCAGTAGACGTACATCCCGATTCATCCAAGGCTTCTGGTTGGGGTACATGGTGATCCGTTTCTGTGTGGTGACACTGTCTATAGTGGTGGAGATGTGGTCCAGCACAGATGAGGCATACTGTCCCAAGTCTGTGTGAATGAACATATTCCAATCAGTGTTTTTGAACCGGTCCTGGAGCACAGTGTCTGTCCCCTCTGACCACACTTTTATTGTCCTCACAGTGGGTTTCACACGTTGGATGAGTGGTGAGTACCAAGGTGTGAGGAAAATGGAGAGATGGTCCGATTGTCCAATGTGGGGGAGGGGTGTTGCTTTGTATGCTCCAGCCAGGTTGGAGTAAACATGGTCCAAAGTCTTGTCCCCTCTGGTGTGGCAAGAGACATGTTGGTGGAATTTGGGGAGGACTGTCTTCAAGTTGGAGTGGTTAAAGTCACCAGCAACAATAAAAGCAACCTCAGGGTGTTTGGTCTGGTGTTTGCTAATGGCTGCATAAATTTCTTTCATAGCCATCTTAGCATTAGCATCTGGAGGGATATACACTGCAGTGAGTATGATGGAAGTGAGTTCTCTGGGGAGGTAATAAGGTCTGCATTTGAACATTATAAACTCCACATTAGGTGAGCATTGTCTCTCGGTAGTAGCAGAGTCTGTGCACCAAGCTTTGTTAATATAAATGCACAAACCTCCACCTCTGGTCTTGCCAGAGTCCTCAGTTATCCTGTCGGCTTGGTGTATGTGGCTTCCTGCTAACTCAATAGCATTGTCCGGGCAGCTGTTGTTTAACCGTGTTTCAGTGAAAATCATGATGTTTGAGTTCATAATCCTCCTGTTGTTGATGATGGAGAGCCAGATTTCATCCATTTTGTTTGCCAAAGAACGGACATTGGCGAAGAAAATGCTGGGTAAGGGCAGCCGGTGTGGTGTCAGTTTTAGCTTAGCCAATAGTCCTCTGCACTTACCCCGCCTTTGTTTACGTTCTCGGCACCGTCTGCGTGTACTTCCACCTGGCCTGGAGGAGTAAGCAGCCTCCGGTGTTCTGGAGATCTTTGGGATGAGTCGGAGATCGGCAACAAAACTATCGGAGTTTTGAGTACAGATGTCCAGAAGCTCCTGTCTGCTGTAGAACAGAACGCTGAGCAATTCTGGATGAATAGTCCGGTCAAAAGTAGGTAGAAAAACGCTAAATAGCATGTTCTGGAGAGACGCTGAGCCTCGCGTTGTTCATGCACCACCATTTTGGTCAAGTTATATATCGTCCACCAGGCGCTTACTCTCAGTTTTTGTCTGAATTCTCAGAATTCTTAACTGACTTACTATTCAATACTGATACAATCATCATAATGGGTGATTTCAATAGTCATGTGGATGTTGAGAGTGATAGCTTAAGCATAGCCTTTAATAATTTAATAGACTCATTTGGTTTTACCCAAAACGTCCGCACATCTACTCATTCTTATCATCACACTCTTGATTTAGTTCTGACCTATGGTATAGAGATTAAGGACTTGGTAATAGTTCTTCAAAATCCTATTCTGTCCGACCATTTTTTAATAACCTTTGAGTTTACATTAAATGACTACACAGTCACTGAGAGTAAGTTTCATCTCAGCAGGTGCTTATCAAAAAATGCTGTAACCAAATTTAACCAATCTCTTCCATCAAAGTTTTCCTCTGTCTTGCAGAGTAATGCATCAGAGAACAGTGACTTAGATCATCTAGTTGATCATCTTACAACTTCAATACAAACTTCACTTGATAAAATTGCTCCACTGAAAAAGAAAGTAATCAATCAGCGGAAAATGACTCCTTGGTTCAATTCTGAGATACGTACTTTAAAGTAAGCATCTAGAAACCAGGAGAGAAAATGGCGCTCTACTAATGTTGAATAATTTTATATAACTTGGAAAGATAGTCTACTAGCATATAAAAAAGCTCTCCGTAAAGCTAGAACTCATCTTTAAAGGAGGAAAATAAAAATAACCCTAGGTTTCTGTTTAGTAATATTGCTAGACTAATTAAAAGTACCATTTCTGTTGAACCATGTATCCCTACAACTATAAGTAGTGA